AGACCGAGCCTTCTTCCCTGAACTCTGTTTCTGCAAAACAGAGGAAAACAGCAAGAACACTACCAACAGCAAAGTCAAGCTCAATCACACACACAAACCAGATTTTTACGTGGTATCCGATATTGGGAGAATGAGGATCCCAATATCGACTAATCCACGGTAGAAGACTCTCTTCTTGAGATCTTCTACGTAAGCACTATCTCAGTGTTTTGTGTTTTACAGAACTTGGTGAACTCCTAATTTGCTCCCTGCAAATCTACCAAGCTACACTCTCAGTGTTTAACCCTCCTGATCAAACACTCCGATTTTTCCCAGCTAATCTCCCCAACTAGCTCTACTGATCACTCAACACAAAAGACTCTAGCTTCACAAGCTCTCTCTTTTGTTCTCACAAATCAGAAGGAAAAATTCGCATATCACTATCTTCGGCTGCTTGTATATATATCACTCTTCCCATTTGAGCCGTTGAAGAAGAATCTCTTCTTACCAAGTTTGTTCCACTTCCTTTGGTAAGTTTGCTGTTCTTTCCAATTTTGCATTCCTTTGAATTTCTCTGATTTAAACCCGCACTTCCTTTCCTTTTGTGCTACTCATCCTCACTGAATGCTAACCTCGATCTGCTTCTCCTAACAGACGTTTCTAATATTAATGACTTATCTAGTTATTTACAGTAGTAGCGTAGCTGTCCGTCTGGGCAAAAATATATCCTGGAGGAAACCTGGTCTGAGGATTCAGTGCTCGAACCAGGAACCACTAACCTACTTTTGCAAAAGGCACCACGTTCACCATGCTGGTTGGACTAGAGTCTTTCATTTGACACACCTACACCTTTAATTATAAACGAATAACGATTAATGGTTTATCCTAAAATTAAAGGCTAAAACTAAAACTGTGTCTTTGTCACCATCAGCATCCACATTATGTACCCTATCATTTGGAGAGATAATTTTCATCCATGAAATATATGAAGAACGATCGTCGAAACCGAATAAACGAGAATGGTTAAATGACAGGTTGGTGACATATATGATATATTTAACAAGATATGTGCACACTAGTATGAAATCTTGTGACGGTTTGTTTTAAGTTGTATATGTCAAACTATTAGTCTGTAATTGTTTCATGTTGACTTTTAATTTAATTTGGAGCATAATTCAATACTTTGACTAATCGGGACCATCAATTATTATCTATTTAACTTTTGATTATATGAATATTATGGTTTGGATTTACAGAATTAGGGATTCAGGTGAAACCATTAAAAATTACGGTATAGTATTGCGCTTCAAATCCGATTGATTCGTGATCTAAATAGCAAAACACGATGGATATTCGTATATTGTTGTGAAATGAGAAACCTTAACCAAACAAAATTTCTGAGAATTGTTACTTCATATTGTTGATAACATATGTAAAGACAAAAAATAATATAGTGATACGGTATAATACAATATGAATAAAAAATTTGATTGGCACACATACTTATACAAAATTAGTGTTGTATATTACACAAAATCTAGGTTTAATGAAATGTTGTTTATAATTGTTAAATCGTGTATTGGTTATAGCCAACAAAGGTCTTTCACGGGCTTCATTATCCGCTTGATTAGATATATGGCAATCACATGCTCCGCACGATCAGTTCTCATAGTTATCCCACGTGCAAACGAGTCATATTCAATGGGTTGACTTCTGTCTATCGTTGTTTCTCAATACTGGAAACCCAACTGTCTCAATCTTTTTTATGCGACAGCATATACTTTCTTTTAATCCGACGTTGTTTCCCTGTTACAAAGCCTAATTATATATGTCAGTTTAAATTACAAGGTCTAATTACATATTAGATTATGTTGAAGGTAAAGGCTAATTAACCAAACTACATATGTGGTTTCACTTGAAGATTTGTATTTTCGTCACCAACAAGTGAACAAAACCACATGTCGTTGTTTAAAATCAATAAAATAAGTGTAATCGTAAATAATATGCTTGAAAGATTAACAATTTGAGCATGTAAGAGATAGGGATAATATTTATTTTAATTCAAATGAATTTATGCTTTAACATCATGAACATATTAAATTCTTGGGTAATGTTTATTTTTTATTCAAATTATTTTTAAATTCTTTTATATTATTCAAACCTATCGAAATACTAAGAATTAATCAAATGTTAACTTCCAGTTAGCAATTTTGTTAGTAATATTGACTTGACAAATATGATACTGACTTGGAAGAGATACATGAATGTCAACATTCCAAAAATTTGTATTTTAACTGAGAAAAGGCTTACAAAATTATTAACAATAACGTAAAAATGGCTAATATTTTGATGCATCATGAAATATTTGGCTAATTAATAGAATTTTAATAGGTTTGGATAATATAAAAGAATCTAAAAATGTTTGGATAAAAAATACACATTACCCTAAATTCTATTTGTGCTTAAACTGAAAATAACTAATAACATTTAAATTTCCCTCTAATTAATCCAAAAAATATTTCCCTCTATTTTTCGTTACTAATGCAGATTACTGCTTTGCTGGAGGAAAAGTTCAAAAGATTATTTGCAATACATTTCTCACTAAATTTATTATTACAAACTAACCAATTGGTGGAGGCAAAATTCAAACGTGAAACAAAATTTAACATTTTCAAAATTTCCTTTCTCACTCTTTTTAGAAGACCGCCTTTTTTATCCGCCAAATAATTGGACGACTCTTTTCAATGAGAGCCGCTTGCTCTTGTGGTAGCCATGACTCGCTCTTTCTTCTCGTTTTGCTTCACAAACTTCTTGTTCTTGGTTTCTGATTTTGTCGTGATGATTTAAATTGCATCGGATCAGACAAATAATTGGCAACCAAAAGTCACATGTTTGAGTCCATTTAAATTGCACTGAATCTTGTGAAGCCAAGCACGGCCTCAACCAGAGAAAACAACTAGAGCCCATATTACCCAAAGGATTTACCACCACCAAATTTTTTATAGTAGTGGAGTTATCGGGAACCACCGATGTGGTACTTTTCTAGCACTGTCTCCTCTTTTCTTCTTTGACCTGGCTAATGGCTATAACCTTCATCCAACTTAGGTTGATATTCCTTCTTCATTGGAAAGCCACGTAAGGCTATGGTCATAATTCCAACCACAACAGCAAGAAAGTAGGATACCATGAAAACATAGTATTCAGTTGGATTCTTGTTGTTCCAACCAGGGAATGGCTTCCCAATTTCTGTATCTTCATTCCTTCTTAACCCATTACCCATTACATATTCTTAACCCATTACATATTCTAAGTGCTTTAAATACTCATGCTTTAAATTAGTTTAAGAATAATGAACTCATAGTTTAGTGTGCTTAAGAAGTGTGTGGTACTTAAATATTTTTATTTATTAGGCATGACTCGAGCTTGTTCGCGAGCCTTCGAGCTGAACATGGTATGGCTCGAATTCGGCTCGTTCAGTTAATGTGCTTGTTTGCAAGCCGGCTCAGTTAAGACGAGTCGATTATCAAACGAGTTTTTCTCGAGTCAAACGCCGAGCCGTTCATGAGCGGCTTGGTTCATTAACAACCGTGAGTGTATCTAGAAATATCAAATTTCTCATAATCAAAGAATTTTATATTTTCATTTGGGTCATCTATAAATAAGAATAATGGATCAAATAACAAACAACGAATCAAACAGAATCAAGTTAAATATGTTTGATATTATCAATTATTTCTCATTTGTTATAATTTTATACCCAAGTGCATCGCAATCATTAAATATCCAAACTAGGAATATTTCTTATATCGTAATTAGGTTGTAAACAATACGGGAGTCAGAAAATGAAAACATTAAAATTCTCCCTCTTGTTTTTTCAGAAACCCTGTTTTTATCCGCCAAAACAAAATTTCATTTCTTTGCAACCCTTCCCATCCCACTGAAACAGAATAGCACACTTTCATTCTCTCTTTCCATTAATCGTTTGATGTTTCTGGGAAATCTGGTCGATTTGGGGTCTTCGAAGCTGGTCCACTTTGCCGGCGGCCGAAGGTGTGGCCTTGTCGATGAGCACGCGGAGAAGTAAGCTTCCGAATCTCTGCACTTCCCTCGCCCCGATTCGGCTTTGATTCGCTGAAACGGCGATGGTTCAGGTTCATGCTCTGGTAGCGAGCAACGAAATGGCGATTGAAGCTGGGATCGGAAGGGAGATCCACAGCTTGCAGACGGGTTTGCAGAGGAAGGCGGATCTTGGACTGGGGAGGCGAATCAGAATCTCGACGAGGAGGTCGTCTCCGAGTTTGCTGATGGCGGAAGGAGGGTTTCCTTCTGAACTGATTCGCCACCGTTTTCTAGGGGCGGGACGGTGGAAGAGCTCGCTTAACGGCAGTCCCATTCCTCGTTGCATTTGGCGGAGACCATGGCGATAAACAAACAGACGGATTGAGGGAAGATAACTCCGATGCTGGCGCCGGGGGAGAAAAAATGCCTTAGTTTACTGGCGTTTCCACTGGGAATATTTGATCTTGATTCTGGACATCTTCTTGCAGCACATGACCAGTTGTTGTATGTTCCATCTCGTCTTATTTTAAGCGTATTTCTCTATTTTTGTCTTTGCTCCTTGCCGATCTTTTCCACCTAATAAGTGGATTACCTTCCTACTATGATGCTTGCCTTCTTAGTTCTTACCCTCATCTTAATCTAATCTAGATGCATAGCTTTAAAATGACTTGAGGTTGGTTGCTGTTGAGTTAACAGGAACTGGAATTTGGATGGCAAATAGTGCTGGGCACAATTGTTGGATTCTTGGGAGCAGCATGTGGGAGTGTGGGTGGTGTTGGTGGAGGTGGCATTTCGTTCCTATGCTTAGCCTAATTGTTGGGTTTGATCCCAAATCCTCAACTGTCATCTCTAAATGTAAGATTACACGTTTTGGAATGACAGTAAAGTTAAAGACTAAGTGGCATTGCTGAAGTTAATTGAATTGGTGAATGTGTGTATGATAATTTTCTTTTCGTTTAGGTATGATAATGGGTTCAGCTGCATCAACTGTGTACTATAATCTTAGGCTACAACATCCTACACTTGACATGCCAATCATTGTTTATGATTTGGCTCTACTGATCCAGCCCGTGCTTATGCTAGGAATTAGTATCGGTGTGACTTTTAATGTCATCTTCGCCGACTTTTAACTGCTGGAAACCTGCTGGGAACCTATTTTTACCCCTCTTGTCGGTTTGTCTTTGTTAAGAATGATTATTTTAGTACTTAAATTTAGGTTAGTTACATTATTATTTTAATATTTTTGGTAGCTTAACCTTCCACTTCAATTAATTATCCAATGCTGCCATGTGTAAATTGATTCATTTATTTTTGCCTTGTGTAATTATCCTTGCCGATCTTCTGCCATGTGTAAATTGATTCATTTATTTTTGCCATGTGTAATTATCCTTACCGATCTTCTTCCTCCCAAAACCTTCCATATTCATCCTTGTGTGTTCTGTACAGAGGAAAAAATGAGAACACACTCTATCTCCCTTCCTCTGGAATTTCCCCGCTTTTAATGGAATTTCCCCGCAAGATGACAGTCAGTCAGCGATTACCAATTTAACTTTCCCATGAGCATTTTTTGATTACCCTTCCTCATGTCTGACCTCCGCACCGCCATCTCCATCGATTTCGTCTGCAGGTGTTTCCAGTATAGAGTTTTTCGTCGATCCGCCCTTACCCCCATCTCTCGAGTATGCGATTTTCACTATGCAATAGATAGCGATGGCGCTCGAAAAAATCCAGAGCTCGGCTATTGAAGACAATTTGGTAGGAGAATTGATTCGATGGTGAAAAGAGGATAGGAACCGTCCATGAGAATGAAGGGGATATGGGAAAGGGGTTTTTTGGAGTTGTACGACATGGTGGTTCTGACTTCTGTGTTTACATCTATCAACTAATGAATAGTTTGAATGTAACTTGATGGAAACACAATCACACAAAAATTGGGTGTTCGGTTAATTAGATAGAAGAATATTAGGCATGATAATATGAAAAGATACGAAAATTTTGTATAGGGACTAAAGAGCACCTATAAAAAAGTAATAGAACCAATCAATTATTATAGAATCGTAATTAATAAATAATTTAATTAGAATTATTAACAGACGTTAGATTAAATCAACGGTGTAGAGAACCTGGAGCATGCTATGTGTCTGGAGCGTGTATATATATATATATATATATATATATATATATGGTGCCTTCTACTGTACCCCGGGTGAAATCCGGGGTATCGAATACCTTGAGTATGAAAATGCTATTTAGACCTCGAATTATCAAGATTTTTGGGCATGATACTACACCCTAACCCTTAATGAGTGAACCCTAGGTCCTAATTATCTTAATCATAAACTATAAACCCTAAGATGGTGCATTGATTTTTTTGCCTATATTTGGACGAATCATAACCGTTGATTATTGTTTCTAATTCAATTGATCTTTGGATATAAGATTTAGAGAATTAAGACCTAGATTTTGATCTTTAAAAGTTAGAGTATAGTATCATGTGCGAAAGATCAGTCAATTCAAATTCTAGATAGCGTTTTCTTACTCAAGGTATGCGATACCCCGGATTTCACCCTGGGTACCGTAGAACTCCCCATATATATATATATAATCAAAGGTATGCCATACCCTTAGTAAAAATACTATATCTAGACCTTGAATTGATCGTAGTTTGAGACATGGTACTACATCCTAACCCTCAAAGATTAAAATCTAAGTCCTTATTCTCATACAATAAGATTAATTTAATTAGAAACAATAATCAACGATCATGATTCATCAAAATACATACTTATATGCATCATCTTAGTGTTTAGGGTCTATAATTTAGATAATTAACACCTAGAATTCACTCGCCAAGTTCATCAAAAGGCTTCTCACCAAGAAGCGGAAGTTTGAAGACCTTGCCTCAATCACCTCGAGCGAGGAGTGCACCGCCATCATCCAACACAAGCTTCCCAAGAAGCAACAAGATCCAGGGAGTTTCATTATTTCCTTATGCATTTCATGTAGTGAATTCTTTGGCGGATCTAGGAGCAAGCATTAATGTTATGCCTTTTAAGCTTTATCAAAAGTTAGATCTAGGTGAACTAAAGAACACTATGTTGAGTGTGGCATTAGCGGATAGGTACGTGGTCCATCCAAAATCCATTGTCGAAGACGTCTTAGTACGAGTAGGCAAATTCTATTATCTAATGGGTTTTGTTATCCTAGATATTAGTGACGATGTAGATGTGCCCCTCATCCTAGGACGTTCATTTCTCTCCATAGCCAAGGAATTGATTGATGTGAAAGAGGGAACTTTAATTCTGAGTGATGGTGAGGAGAAAAATACTTTTTGATTGATCACAAGGATAAGTCTATGAATGTGAATGAGATAAAATCAAAATGTAATGTTGTTAAGGAGAAGGCTCACCCCGATTGTACTTCTTGTCTTTGTGATGATGAGTTGCAGGTTGCAAGAAGGGTGAGAAACCCGAAGGAAGGACCAAGAAGGAATGGAGACTGAAGTTAAAAAGTCTATGCTTGTCCCACATAAAAAACAAGGGCAAGGAGATGATGGTGGGCTATGAAGGCCACACATTGCCAAGGATGTGAGTGTTAAGTGATAATCGTGTCTATGATAAATATGAATTGGTCTTTGTATGTTTTGTGTTTGAGTTTGGAGCACAGTAGAGTCGATCAGGGTCAAAAATAGCCAAAATCTCAAGTCTTTGCACACTTCACTATTTGTGTGATTTTCATGGTTTTCATACTATGAAGATTACATTGCTCGGTCGCGAGATGCACCGAGATTTCTATCCATTTTGCACACTTCACGATTTGTCTGTAGTTTTCACTGGCAGAGCCAATGAAAATATTATACTCCCGGCGTCCCAATTCCCAAAGCCAATACCTCCCTTAATGTTATATCGTTAACCGCAATACCACTCCTAATAAAAAGCTACAATTATACTTTAACATAATGGTAAAATATTTGATTTTATATATATATGGTGGCGTATTCGGTGCACCCACTTTTTCGGGTGCACTCAGTGCACCCGCATCATAATTGTCATTCTGACCATGCGATTCATGTCAAAACGGTATCAATTGTTGCTCATGATATTATGAACAAGTAGCACATGAATTTGAAAAAAATTAATTCAAAATTTACTTTAATTTGAATGATTTAGGATTTAGGGATTTAGGGTTAGGGTTTAGGTTTACAACTCCATATATATTATATTTTAGGGCAAATACAATATATTAGCCATAACTATTAAGCAGCGGGAAATTATAGCCACAACTATCGAAATACAAATTATTAGCCAATCGTTAAGTTTTCGTTAATGACTAAGCTTTTACGATGGTGAGCTAGCTCCCACGTGGCAGTCGTCATATCATATTTTTTACGATGCTGACATGGCCTTCTACGTTAATAATTTGAAAACAGTAACAGCTGTTAGCCAAATCTTGACCCACAATAATAGTTATGGCTAATAATTTGTTTTTAGATAGTTGTGGCTATAATTCCCCGATACTTAATAGTTATGGATAATATATTGTATTTACCCTATATTTTACGAGATAAAAAATAGTAAAACCGGACGGAAAGGTTGCATCAGTGCCGTTCCCCCACCTTTAGCCATCTTTTTCTTCCACTCCAAACAAAACTTCGGTGTCAAAAGTTTGCATCAAATGGGATGGACCAATCATCATCGCCGCTGTCCTCCTCAAGCTTCCACTAGCGAAGCCGGCAGATTCAGAAACAGTTTTTCATTCACTTGCCTCTTCTTCTCACCTCCCCTACTTCTACCCATCTCCACTACTGGCATAAGAACAAACCCAAAAAGCAGAGGCCGGAACTTGATCACAATATGGCTCAAAGGCAAAACGGTGCCAGGCTAGTGTTCCCCATTGACTTGAAGAAGAAGCCATGCGAGCAGAAGCTCCCCCTCCACAACCGTTGGCACCCCGACATCCCTCCGGTGGCTGACGTGGTCGCCGGAGAGCTTTTCCGGGTGGAGATGATGGATTTCAGCGGCGGCCGTATCACTCAGGAATTCTCCGCTGAAGACATCAAACACGCTGAGTCGCTGACCCTACTAATGTGAGTTCTCAAAAAAAAAATGTCTTTCTTTTCCCCCCTTAATCTTCCGAGTCTTGAGCTTTAGCTTTGGTTTGTGAAGTAGTCTAATTTCATTTGGGAACCCCAATCATAGTTCAAAGAGAAAAGTCAGTGATGGGTCACTTTCACCTCAAGAAATGGTGGAAGTCGATGTTTTTTTTTTTTAAGTTTTGTCATCTACAACTCGAACTGGAGAAAAAAAACTCTCCATTTGTCTCATCCTCAATTGTACCACCAAAAACAGAAAGAAAGCCAACCAGGCTTCCTAAAGGCCATTGATTGATTGTCTTTTTTGGGGGGTCAGTCATGGCTCCATCGACACCAAGGTTAGTAATTCCAGTAGATGTGAAGAAGCAGCCATGGGAGCAAAACCCACCTCTTCACAACCGCTGGCACCCTGAAATCCCACCGGTTGCAGAGGTTAAAGCCGGCGAATTTTTCAGAACTGAGATGGTAGACTGGACTGGTGGGAGCGTTAGGGATGATGAATCCGCCATGGATATCAAAACCATAGACCTTTCCTGCGTAAATTGAACATGAGCCTCTCTCTCTCTGGCTATTCTACTCGAGCTTTTGATCAAAACACTTGCAAGAATTCCGGGAAAAGGTCCAAATTAGATGTGGGGTTGTTTCTTTCTGGTGTGCAGGTGCATCATCTCAGCGGACCGATCAGGGTTGTGGATGAAGATGGTGTTCCAGCGAAGGCAGGAGATCTTCTTGTTGTGGAGATTTGCAACTTGGGTCCTCTCCCTGGGGATGAATGGGGCTATACGGCAACATTTGATAGGGAAAACGGCGGTGGTTTCCTCACTGATCATTTCCCCTGTGCAACCAAAGCCATTTGGTACTTTGAAGGCATTTTCGCCTATTCTCCTCACATCCCAGGTGGGCACTGAAAGCTTTGTTTTTATTGCTCTAATGACCGTGAATTTGCATCACATAAAGTAAGTATTTGGTTTCTGCTACCGAGTCAGGAGTGAGATTTCCGGGACTGACTCACCCTGGAATCGTTGGGACTGCACCTTC